GCTATCAAAAGATATAGTGTCTGGGGTCTTAATGGCTTGAAGATAAACAAGCAGCCATCTAGCTCAGAAGCAACAAAGCCCACAAGGAAGAAGCATACCAGCCTGTGTGATCACTAGGTCTCAATGGGATCAGGTATCAGGCATCAAAGACTCAGAACAAAAAAAAAATCGTATCAATGTGAATGAGGGGGAGGGCAGAATGGAGACGCAAAGCCCATCTGTAGACAATTGGGAAGAAAATCCAAATCAATGACCAGTTTGGAACAGATTAAAAAGCAAAGCAAAATAAAGCACAGAACTAAAGCTATATTACATAGTGATTTTTGTCTTTTAGCTGTAATAGTTATTAGCAATGAGAATTCAAGTGAAAAATAGAAAAACGTGTAAGAGGGAAATTAAAGGGTTTTCTTTTTCAACCAAACAATTTGTGAGGGGATTGTGAAATGGGAAGCTAATTTGCTGTGCAACCATCCACTGAACACATAGCAAAGTATTATCCAACACCACATTACATGTTCACTTAGAATATTACTTTCTGACATCACCAAATTCATTGATTCCAAGTCACAGTGACCTTACAGGACAGAGTGGAAGTGCTCCTGTGGATCCTTGAGACAGTAACTCTTTATGCGAGTAGAAAGCCCCATCTTTCTCCCATGCAGTGGCTCGTGGTTTCAAACTGCTGACCCTGTGTCTAATAGCCCAATTCATAGGTCGGAAAACCTTGATTCTGATTTCAGATTCATCCCCTAACTGCAGGGTTTTAAGTTATTCTCAAATTAAACAACACCTCATCTTTTCTGTACTCCCACAACCTTCGCTGCCCCTTGCTTTACAGGATTTAAATCAATCTAGCTTTCATTTATAGCTACTTGTCTGCATACCGATTTCTGTCAGTTGGTTCCCAGATCGTTGAAGACAGAAATGACTATATTAATATGGTGTCTTGTTTATTTTCATATTTTCAGTTTCATCATGGATACAGTGGAAATTGACACCTGCTTGAACTTTGGATGGTTGTACAGATTAAAATATGTTGGACCTGATAGATACTATCACTGGAAATTAATTTTTGCTTTTTTTTTAATAAACGTTTCCAAGCATGTTCTGGGAAATCGCCCAAAGAAATTACTTGGACTTTTTGTGCAAGAAAAGAAAACTCTGTTAATTTCCCTCTTCCACGTTTTTCTATATTTCACTTCAATTCGCATTGTTAATAACTATTACAGATAAAAGGTAAACATTGCTATATGATATAGCTTTAGTTCTGTGCTTTATTTTGCTTTGCTCTTTATTCTCTTCCAACCTGGTCTTGGATTACAGATTTTCTTTCTTTAGGGTTCTTCTTCATTGGGCAATTTGGGAGTAGTTAAGAGTCCTTTATGTATTTATTTTTCCTGCCACTACTTTTCTCTGCATGCCATCATTTCATTTGCTCTCTCAAATGTTTAATCTCTGCGTCGCCTATGTGGTGCCCTGGCCGGCACAGTGGTGACAAATTGGGTCTTGTCTGAAAAGTCAGCCGTTAGAAACCACCAGCCACTCACTCCCCCAGAGAAAGACGGGCGTTCTGTTCTCATAACGAGGTACCGTTCAGAAACCCACAGGTCCAATGGCCTCCCTTGTCCTTGTAGCGTCGCTCTGAGTCGGCATTGACTCGATGGCAGTGCGTTTGGGTGGTTTTGATTTTGACGTCTTGTTTGCGTTTGTTGTAACATACTTTCTCCTTTCTTTCTTTCTTGATCATTTTCTGGGGCAAATCAAGGATGTTGTCTTTGTGGTGTATTGCCTATAATGTTTTCCAGGCCCGATTCATGAAGTCCTCACTAAAGTGCGAAAATCCTGCGCTGTAAGAAAGTCTGCCCAAGTCAGTGAATTCTTGCTTTATAATATCTTACATACCAGCCCTCTTGAATAAACATCCTTAAATTTAAATCCCAAGCATATTCCCCTAAATCTACAGATGTATGCAGGTGACCATTTGTAGTTCTTTCAGTATATTGTCACTTTCTCTGCTTATCTTCAAAGTCCACCCTTGTCTGGGTTGGGCTGGAATTTAACCTTAATTAGGCATCTGCTGGTCAGGAGAGAGGAGCTGTGGTGGCGGAATGGGTTAGAAGTTGGGCTGCTAGTCGAGAGGTTAGCAGTTTGAAACCACCAGCTGCTCCTTGGGAGAAAGAGGGATTTTCCTGCTCCTGCAAAGAGTTACACGGGTGGTCCTACCTTGTCCATAGGGTCATTATGAATCAAAATGGACCTGATGGTCGTGAAAGGGTCAAGAAAGAAGTTCGGACCGGCGACTTCAGGAGCTGTTATCTTGCAAAGTCTCTACAGCATCTTCCAGCACCCCAGAAGGATTAGAATTTATTGGCAAAGAAGATTACCCCTCCAGTTTCAGGGCATTTAAGGAGTTTTGCAGAGATAGCATCTTCACAGGCTTCCACCCAGATGTTCCCATCCCATATTTCAGTGCCCCAGGCTTTCCTCACTAATGCCCTAAACCTCACATAATTGATCTTGCCTCGGCTGTGCCCGTGCTAAACACCCTTGGATTCTGCAGTGGTTAACTCGTTAGCCTGCCACTTAGTTGTGCTTGTTCATCTAGTGCAGAAGAGAAGGACCTTTTTGTGAGTTGCCACCCAGGCCTTTTTGTTCTCATACTTCATCATTAACTGCTCATTAGAGGTTCACAGTTTTTCATTATCCTCTTTTGGGCATCACTCAATACAACTTGAGAGTAACCAGCCAACTCCCCTGATTTTGTAGGTGTTGCCATCCTCATTTCTCTCAAATAATGGGATCATCACACCTGCAGAAACACTTCCCTTTGCTAGGACGTTTCCCCATTCACCGTTGATGAAACTTTTAGCAATTGCTCAGCCAGAGACTAACTATCCATGTACCATTTACCATACAAGATAATGTATCCGGGAGTGAGCTAATCTACAGACCCCATCTTGCTGCCTGTTTTCTCAGCTCCCTCTTGGTGCCATCTGTGTTAGTCCGAGCTCTCAAGAAACCAACACTAAGGTGAGAATGGACATGCAAGAGAGGTATTTAGGAACACGCCTAGAAGGACAAATGTAAAGGCTGTGTTAAAAGACTGGGCAACCTTAGAGGGAATCATGATGCCAGGTCTAATCCTTGTTTAGGGAGAGGGGTGGAGGGAAGGCAGGGTGGAAAATCTTAGACTTGGGGCAATTCTAATGAAGTTTGGCAAGGCTAAGGGGGAAGTCTTGAACCAAGACTGGCTGGCAAGGAGATTTGCATTTCTTAGGAATGACCCTGGATTAGAATCCCTCCCTTGATCATTCACTGCCTAGGAGCAGCTCTTTGGTGGCATGGAGTTGAGACCAGCAATGAAACACATTTCCTGTAGTTAGAAGTCAGAGAGGGACACAAAAGAAGAGATTCCATAGCTACCACCGGGATTTTTTATACTCCTTTTCCACTAGCTTCCTTACCACTTTCTTTTTACTTAGTCACTCCTTTTCAATATGGATCTGTCTTTTGTTATTGCATAACAGATATTTATAAAAAATGTTACTGAATTAATAACTGTTGAGAGTAAGATGGAGGGGAAAATGGATTAAAAACGTATAGAAAGATTCAGGTGTGAACAGTGGGATTCTGAGGGGCCGTTGTTGTTGGTTGCCATGAAGTCAACCTATGAATCTCCGTGAAGGAAATGCTCCTGAGGCATGACCAGGAATGGATTGAACCACTGTGATCCGTAATGCTTTCATTGGCTGGTTTTCAGAAGTAGATCCTAGGCACTTCTTCCTAGTCCATCTGAGTCTGGAAGCTCTGCTGAAACCTAGTATCACAGTAACAAGCAAATTTCCACTGAGAAACAAATGACACCATACATGAGGTGCGTGGGTTGGAAATGGAACCTGGGTCTCCTGCATGGAAAGAGAGAATTCTATCTCTGAACCACCTCTGTTGTTAACTATCTGCAAATTGAAAATTGAATTTTAAAATTCTTTTCATAATTTTCTCAAAATGTATAACAAATGTAGGTAAACTTTAGCCTATGCTAGAAAATGATAGAAACACATTTTCCAACGGATATGGTAAGGGCCATTTACTTGACCTCTTAGTCTTTTGAATTTTTTAGCTCTCTTTCTGAATACCTTTCTGTATACACTTTAAATGGTGAGATAAATAACCTATGTGTAACTTAGTTAATATGTATTCACTGGGTACTTAACGATCTAATTTCTTTCTTTCTTTCCTTCCTTCCTTCCTTCTTTCTTTTTTTGCTTTAGATGTTCTTAAGCAGGTATCCAGAAATGTTAGGACGTTTTAAAAGTATGTGGGATTGTATGTGTTGTGCTCTTCTTATGGTGACTTGTTGAAAACTTCTACTACAGGTATGTTTCTGAAGCTGACAGTCTTCCACGGGGGATGTGTGAATTTTCCAATGGTGTTTGCATACGTACACACTTAAGCAGGCCTGGATCAGGTATGTAGACATCAGACTGAGGTCACTGGATTGGGTGGAAAAGGAACCCATCTATGTTTTGGCAGTAAGAATAACATCACATTAATGTGTATGTTTATGGGAAATGCTTTATGTAAGGAAACAATTTGTTCCCAGAACTCTGCTTTTTGTTTGGAGTTTCCTTGTAAAATGAATAAGCTGTTTGCCCTTCAGTATAATTTGATGAAAATTGTCCCATTTCTGTAAGTGTGGCTCTAGATATTAATCTTCATTAGCTTTAACTGTATTAAATTCCATTTGACTTTGCCTTTGAAAATAAAGTTATTATTGTCACCTTAGCTTTCATGTGACCTTGGATCTGACAAATTAAATTGGTAGGTTCTCTATCTGAGAGGAAGAACTGTTCTAGAATTTTCTGTTTCCTTGTCTTCCTTATTTAAGCCACCTCCCGTTCTAATCAATGCATCTCTCTCTTGCTTTGCAGAGCATCTGAATTCCTGACTCAGTATCATGACACTTGTAATCTAATCAAGTGAAAGAAGACTGGACAGACTTTTCTGATGTCATCATGCATTTATTAGTGAAAGTTAGGCATCCTGTCTGTAATGAAGAGAAATTACAGATAATTTTGGAATGAATTTTAGAATTCTCTATTCTCTAAATTCCATTTGATGTATCTTTTAGGTATAGCATATGCGATTTCAACATCCTTCTGAGGTTTAGTCTCCTGGATATTAGTGAAATTTTTTATTATGCCTGGAATTAAAAAAAAAGTTATAATTAGTATAAATTGACCAAAGACCAGTAGGTCATGTAACGATATTATTCATTTCTTAAATGACCATTTGAGCTGGATGGCCTTTGCTTCATTCTTTGTCTTGCTTTTCTGTCTTTTTCCCCCCAAAACCATTTTATTGGGAGTTGATATCGATATACCATTCCATTGTTCAAGAACATCAAGCAATATTATACAATTGCTACAACAGTCCATTTTATAGTATTATTTTCTTTCCTTAACTCTTTGACATCAGCTCACTTTTACTCCCACCCCCTGCACTGTACCCCTCAGCAATCCTTATTCTACTTGCTGTCCCGATAAGTTTATCAGTTCTGGGTTTCATATACTGAGAAAAGGAAAACATATAACAAAATTTGAGAAGGTGACCCCCAATGACATAAAAGATCTGAGATCCACCCCAATGTGAACAAACAAAAATAAATAAATACAGAAAATGTTGAAAGCCAGATCAAGTTTAACGTGCATCAGAGGGGGGAATCAATGGACAAGGTTTTAACTGTTCAAGTCAGGTTTGTCATTTTGATCTTTTGTAGTCATCTCTCCAATTCACTCTGTTTGGTAACCAATTTCCTCCCATTGCTCTATTATGGATAGAGGGAAATCACCGGAAGCTTATTTCCTGTGTAGATCCCACAAATGTATCTTGGCCTCCCACTGTCATCCATAGCCTTCTGCAAAACCAGATTTTCACACTTTAGGCGCTGATACTATTCCCTCCTTTGACTTCAAATTATATGATTTACAGTCCTTTGATGGCTGATGTTGGTTTGCTTCTTCCATGTCGACTCAGTTGACATCTCACTTTGATGGGTGCTTGTTTGGGACAAGCCTTTAAGAACCCAGATGCCATTTTATCTGATAGTCGGGCACCATCTAATTTCTTCACCACACTCTGCTATATGCTTCACCTATATCTTCTGTGTTCCGTTCCTGAGGGGGTGTGTCGAGCAGGGCCATGATGTAAGAGCTAATTGTTCTTAAATTGAAACTGGGATTTAGTGCAGTCATAAAACCCACTCCTGGATATATGTTGTTGTTTTTTTAAATCTTTATCTGCCTTTGGTCCTCCTTCAAAACCTCCTTGTTAATTTATGGTAGAGAGGCTTATCAATCATCCCCCAGAGGCATAACAATTCTCCGTTAATACTGCCTTTGATTAGCCCCTGGCACTAATTTTCTAAGGATAAAATAATAATAATAGAAAGATGAAAATACAAATAATGAGTAAGAAAGTGAAAACCACCATAAGTCTTTTAAAATCCAGGGAAGAAATTTTTGTCATGGAACGTGCAAGAAATATTTCAGTCTAGAGCAAATTCTGGTTGGATCAAGAGGGAGATCAATTGACCAACTATCATATTATACCACAGTTCCATCCACCATGATCAAGTTTACAATAATCTCTTTCTGATAGCAAAGCTGTTCTAGTTCCTTGTCTGTGGCCAGAGGAGATCTGCTAGAGGCTTGGTCAGACTAGATACTCAACAAATGGATTTTGGGCTCTCACGTTATCCTCCATAGCTTTCTACAAGTTGAATGTCTAAAATTTAAGCTCTGATACTTTTCCCTTCATAACATTTGGATTTTGTTAATGTCATCTTTGGATCACACAGGCTGGTGTGCTTCTTCCATGTGGACTTAGCTGACACCTCACTTAGATGGTGGCTTGTTTGAACACAAACCTTTAAGACCCCAGACACTATTCCAGTTGATAGCCGGGCACCATCTGCTTCCTTCACCACACTTTGCTGTATCACCCTTACCTTCAGTGTTCATTTCATGAAGGTGAGTATCAAGCAGGGCCATGTTATCTGAGCTAACTGTTCTTGGATTGGGGTTAGATGTTCAGTCTAATAGAGCTGAATATTTTCTGAAGGTTCATGCCATCAATAGAAAGAGAGAAAGGTATAATACAATAGCATGGGGTGTGAAAATTAAGTATAGTCAAATTTTTAATTTTAGTATGTAGGTGATGGAGAGATGGATGCTCAATGATTTCCCCCCCTCAATTTTTTCTTGTGCTTGAAATGTTTCATAATAAGATGCTAAAAAAATATGGCTCAGGTAAGATGAGGACTCATAATTCACCATGGAATGGCAGTATGGTTATTGGTGACACAAGGGTAATTTGGGTGGTGTGATGAGATACAAGCCGGGTTGCGATGGTTTTAAGAGAGAAAGGGAAGGAAGGAATTGTAAGTATCACGTGTTGGCAACTCTTTGGGGAGTTTTTCTATGAAGGGGGTCAGAGAATTGGGGCAATAGCTAGAGGGGACAAGATGATGAGAGAATTGACTGCATTCTTATATGCTAGTAGAATCATCCAGCAGAGATTAAAAAAAAAAAAAAGGTGAGTTTCAAGGAGGGTGATCTTGTGTTGGTATTAGCTGATAGAATTCTGTGCATAGGTGGAACAGCTAGCCTTAACACTGATAACTCATCAATAACAACAGAAAGGAAAGCGGAGAACACATGTGCCTATGAAAGGGTACAGGAAGATGTAGGGGTGGGATCTTGTGGAAGTTCTCTTTTAACTACTTGTATTTCGTTAGGGAAAGAGAAAACAGTAGAACCTGGGAGCAAGGCTGAGAGACAAAATGTGGGTGCTTTCCAGAAGGAGAATATATGACACTGTCTTATGGCGAAGGAGAGAGGAAGTAAAGAAATGGAGTATTATGATTTTAGGGGAAATCCTACAAATTGAAATGTTAGATACAACAGTGTGCCCCTTCTCTTCTTGGAACAGATATTGCCAATTTTCCATTCTAGAAGTTGTGCCAGATCCTATGCTTCTGCACAACATTTGAACCTGGATGCTTTCCTGTTCCTTGGCCAACATGGTATGTTATGTTATATTTTGATATATTCCTTTTAGCTATGATAGTTGGAAATGGTGTTTCAGTGTAATATAAACTTATGTTTCGCTTATGCATAATTATATGTCAAAAGTTAAAGGAGAAAATCGTACTTTTTTCCAGGGAATTACCTTTCAATTTTATTAGGTGAATGATTCTACCTTATGATAATGATGATGATGATGTCATGACTAAACCTATACTGGGACCCCAAGCTCAAGATCACAGCATGTAGGTTTAGAAGGGTCTTAGAATGGGGCTATGAAGGTTTTGTCCGTGCTCACCCAACCCCCCAAAAGACAGTGTTACTGCTGGGATAAGAACCGTACCCCAGCACTTCTGACACTGGCAAAGGCTGAAGCTCTGGTCTCGGTCCTTGGGGGAAATCGAAGTTACGGAGCAGGTGAGTGAAACACCTCTACTTGAGGTCTCCGACAATGAAGGGGATGGGTCAGCACAGGAGAGGAGCATTTAGTAAATGAAAAAGGGACCCTTTCCAGCAGGGCAGAGAGCTACAGGGTACAGTAGTTGCCTTCTGGCTTACAGAACTCTGGATCAAATCGTCATGTAAGGTTGTGGGAGAGAAAACCAAGACAGAAGAAGAAACTGTTAGAAGTGCTGCTCACTGGATTGTTATGTATAATTGTGCAATGTGTGTATTGCACAGAGATACCTGGTCTGTGGGGGGAGGGTAGAGGGGGGCGGTAGTTGGGCTTAGAATCCAGCCTATGCTGTTTTTTAGCCTATGCCAGCCCGAGGGGATTCTTATTTCTATTACAGTGAACCCTCGTTTATCGCGGTTAATCGGTTCTAGACCCTACCGTGATAAATGAAATTCCGCGAAATAGGATTCCTTATTTGTAAATCAAATATTTTCGTAGTTAGAGCATAGAGGACATGAAAAAACACCCTTTAGTCACCATTACAC